GAGCAGGTGAGGATAAGAACATAGTAAGGACAGTGAGTTCTTTATTTCATCAAGTTATCCCGTGGAATAAATGAAGGTTATTCCTATACTGAGAGGTAGAGATGCTCTGAGGGTTCTGATTCTTCTCTGGCTTACATACCCAATTTCCCTCCTTGAAAGGGTAGAGTTGAAAGATGACAAGCAGTGGTGGTGTTGGAAGCTGGGTATAAGTAAACTGATAGAGAGGTTAAAATATTAGTTCAAGGTTAAACATAAAGGCCGTGAAAAAGCTAGAAATAGAGCTTTGGAGTTCTGAGAATTCTTATCTTGCTGTGACCTCTGTAATATTTATCATGAGGCAATCATCAAAATACTGCAGATGTCAGTTAGATAAATCTATTTGAAGCTCTCCAGGGGAAAGAAAAAAAAAAGTAACTATCAGCATACCTTGCTTTACATATGGGAAGTTAACGCTAGACTTCCATGAGGCATAGGTATTTTTCAGAGTCCTTGAGGTTCCTTTACGGCATATACACTAAAGCTTCATTAGTGCAGAAACCAGAAGCAGTGGAGGACAGGCCAGAAGCATTAAGTACTTCTGAACTGGGTAGCTCAGAGTTCAGGTGCAGTGCTGAAGTGTTGGAATATCATGAATAACTTCCAGAACTAATAGAGCAAGAGATTTCAGTTTAGAATATAAATGGTCTCAAATCAAGCAAACTCTGCATCTTCCTAATTTCTTGGTAAAATGTAAAGTTTAATTATTGCTATTTTTACAGCAAGTTCCATGAAGTTACTCATTACTGACTAAACACAGAGCTATAAGGTGGCACAGAGGTGAATGGCAGCACTCATTGCTTGTCAGCCTCTCAAGGCCCTGAGAGAAAGCATCCTGCCCATCTTTTCAGAGCATCATCTATACACAAACAGAAAAAAGATCAGTGCTCCTTCAACGCTGTCTTCAGCTCATGGATGCCATAGACACTATTCTGACATTTTTATTTATTGGAAAAGTAAGCTTATCTTACTTCAGTGGTAAAAAAAAACATCATCTAACTCTCACAGCTTAATCCTCTTTGTGATCTGAGAGATATCTAAGAGAGGAAGAGAAATAAATCCAATACATTCAGTTAATTGCTCAGTGACATATAATCTTTTCTCCTCTGTTTTCTTCCGCTTCTATAAAAAGAATAACAAAAAGTAAATAAAAAGCCCTCATCTAAAACTGTGGAAAAAGTCTGCTGAGAGGGTAACGGTGTAATTAAAGTCAGGCCCAGCCTGATGCAAAATCTCATTTACTGTGCACAGAAGCAGCCGCTTTGCCATCCAAAGCTCGGTGAGCACAGAGCTTTAGAAGTCTAGAAGATTGTATAGATTCTCCCCGTCTCTTTTCTCTTACTGTATTTCATCTCTCCATGTCTGTCACCAGTGGTCTCTTAATTCATCGGTAGTTTTAGAGGGGCAATCTCTATCCATTAGTGCTGCAGCCAGCTGTAGTTAAACTGGCTGAAAAATTACAAAGAAATGCCATCCTAGCAGGTAGTAGTGTGTTTATAAAGAAGACAGATTCATATCTTATAGGTGATGGCATAGTTGTGTTATAGATGGTTACAGTCACATCAGTCACAAGACTGCTTAAATCACCCAGCTACACCTTCAAATGACAGATGTGCTTATAACCAGCTATAGCATAAATGACTCGTGTCTGTGACATGCTTCTAAACAGCCCCTTCATCATTCATCAACCTTTTGAGAATTCTCTGTGCACAGAAGGCAAGAGTGGTATTTCTTTGTCATGTATTCAAGGCAGAGATTCCTGTTCAGTTGCGGGAACCTGCAGAACTACCTGTCTTTCTCCTCTATCCTTGAGAAACAGAACTGTTGACATCAGAAATCAAACCAGACATGAGATCATGCTTTCTTCCATTCCCCAGCATCAAACTTAGAGGCATGAAATAAATTAAAGTGCAAGATATGTCTCTCCCCTTCTCTCAATTCTATTTTTTCTATCCTTTTTAAACAAGCAGGGAGATTTAAATTAACATGTCACTTAAGCAGCCAGGAGGAGCAACAGCTAATAACCCCTCTGTCAGGTGCATTAAATAATAAGATATGCCCATCTTGTCATTTCTTTCCATCACACTAAGAACAGAGAAGCTGTCCTGGGATCCTCACAGGGATATTTATTAGTGACCTGAAGGCACGTCTGTATGGTGAGCAGGGATCTCACAGCAGAGTCAGACTTGGGACAGAGCACAACGTAACAATCTAAGGTTTATGCAAGGCAACAGTATTGAGCAAAGACAATGAAGTGCATTGGCAACTTTCAGAGCAGTCATGAGCACTGAAAAACCTATCAAGAATAATGGAGGACTGCAAAGATAAGCGGGTTGATTTTAGCTATCCTGGTTCTCCTTCAACATTTCCCAGTCCAAAGCATTTGCCCAGGGATTCTAGATGGTTGGCCATGCAACCGTAACCAAGTCCTCAGAAACGACACGTGCTAAGTGAACTTGAAGCTGATGGGTTCAAAGACAGGCAAGTGGTTCCTCAAATAATCCATGGAACTCCTTGCTGTAAGATGTCACAGACACCAAAATTCCTAAACACAACCTACGAAAGATTATGAAAGTTAACTCATGGGCTATTAATCCCTGGTATATACTAAAGACAAACAAATTATTCAGACCCTGATGAACCTTAAACTAAAGGACCCTAAACTTCAATCCTAAGAATGAATGCTAGGAGAATACTAGGAGGAAGTGTCAGATATAACAATCCTCTTCGTATATTCTTTCTTGGACTGCTTTTTTGGTAATAGGATACTGGGCTAGAGAAAACAATCAGATTATTACTATGTTGTTAATCACATTCAGACATTAGGACTGTCTGAAGTCCAAAAAAGTACACTGCGCTCACTGGCTCCAGGACTGCTACATTGCCAAAGCCCCAGCTTTTGGTACATCCTCCAAGGGCACTCCAACAATCCCTTCTCTCTTATTCAGGGTAAAACTTATGCCATTGTTGCATGCTTCACAGAAACCAATTCTGAAACAGACAACAGCATAAGGTCATCAGCACAATTTTGTGCCCACATTGATACATCTCAACAAGAAGTGTGTTTTCCACTCTAAAGTGGCTGTCCTACTTTCAGTTCTAAGCCAGTACCTCAGCACAATCTTGCATTGCATCACATGGGTAAAGTAGTTCTTCAGCACTGTTAGCAGTTAGGAAGGAGGTGTCTCCATATGCTGAAACACCATACCTTCCTCAATGACTGCTGAAACACAGATGAATATTTCTCAGGGTGAAATGACTGAGGGTAGTAAGAGAAAATAAAAATAATATAGTTCTTATTTATGAATAATCTTTCTCAAAACCATTGAGAAATGAAACTAGCTAGCCCAAACCTCCTTCAGAAAAATATTGCCAAAGCCACGGCCCTGAAAGGCACTTTACTATGGTGTGCAGACCATAGTAAAGACAAAGGTAGTAGAGGAAATAGGATCATTTTTGATCTCAAGCCATAGCGCAACATATATGAAACGGAAAAATCTGATTATCCCCCCCCCCAGCAGATAAGCAGCCATTTATCCAACTCTACAAAACACTAATACTCGAGTGTTCCTGTTCAGAACAAATCCTAGAAATTTTGTATTTCTTGGGTTTTTGTTTTGGGTTTTTTTTTTGTGGAAGTTTGTTTTATTTCTTCAGGCCAGTAGGTAGAGCACCAGCTTGAGTTCAGAATATACTCCATGTCAAATTCCTCCTCTGTCATTCTCTTAAAACCCTGTTCAATTCCTTGAATAGAAAGGTTATTTGTTTTACTTCTGACCCAAAATTATTTTTTGGAAATTAAAAACCTTTCCTCAACAAGTTTACCAAAACAAGTTCATTCTAACAGAAGTTTTAGTTTCAAATATCCAAAGTTTTCTTGTGTCAAGACAGTTCACCTCCATCAATGACCTGCATACAAAACCCCTAGACTTCCCACCAAAGCGTCACAGATGAAACCACAAGAAAACCTCCCTTTTGTCATCTACAGGTCATGAAAGTACCACTAGGGACGCATGAAGTAAAGACCTCAGTGTAGAGCACATTTTTAACATCTTGTCCTGTCCGGACTGGTCCAAGGGCTACTGCATGAACTATTTCTTGTTTAATTTGTTCAAAGGCTTGGTTTTGTACCCTTGCCTCTAGGGCTGAGGCGGAGGAAAGGGACAATAGAGTTTACTGGACTGTGTGGATTCGTTGGCCTAGCACATCAGACCCCCAAAATTATAAGGCTTTAGTGGACACTGGTGCCCAATACAGAGGAAGTCAAGCAGTTGTCTACTTTGCCTGGTCTTTCAACAGACCCTAGCTAACTCTGTCCCAGCTAAAACCAGGACAATGCATTTTTCAGAGAGATAAAAACAGGCACCATCTGCTCTCATTGAATCAAAATAACAGCCTTAAGAAACAGACCATGACCCAACTCTTTCCTGTGGTTCACAGAGTACATAATATGCTTCGAAATCATGAAAGTATCAAAGCATTCCCTATAAATCAGTCTAGTAGCTAGCATCACACAAGTGTAAATCAATTATCTGGTACTAATACTACCAGTTCTGAATAAACAGACATTGAATACTCACTCACAGGTATTCCCCCAGTCTTAGTAGCACTGACTTCTCATATAGACCATTTGGGCAGTAGACAGCCATGAGCTCCTTCATTATATATAAGGACTTAAGGCTGTTGAGTTCTCCTAAAAATAAACCAATTGGTTGCTTTGATTCTGAATAAGATGGGAAAGAGGAAATCAAATCATAGTAGGTTCATGAAATACGTTATCTAGCTGAAACAAGACAATCAGACTTCAGTTTCTTTGACCTTGAGTATGAAAGAAGTGAGACAGAGGGTTTATCTACAAACCTTCCAGCACATTTAAAAAAATCCAATTAAATTCAATAAAAGAATTGTATCAGGCTCTTCCTATTTAATAAGATGGTAATTATTAACTCAATTTATTTCCATACCTCCAAAGAGAGCTCTCTGTGATGCTTCCCAGGTTGTAGTCATACAGCTTTGTCAGAATTAAAATCACCTGAAGGCAAAAGAAGAAATCATGGTTAGTCTCAAACAATTACAATCTCATAGAACTGAAATGACCCCAGGGAGGGCTTAGAATTCCTTTAATGGGTGCTTAACATAATTGAATGAATTGCTAAAAGCATTTGCCTAAACTGACATAGGAAGTATTTGCAGAGATGTATGTTGAGCCGATCAGACCTTTTCTTGCTCAGCTCCTGTGCATGATATGGCCAACAGGTTCTCCCCTTAACCCCAGGAGGCAGAGTGCAGTGGGAAGGAGCTGACATGCTAGACAATGTTTCAGCATACAAGATGAAATCTGCTGTACGCAATAGAAATAAGTGATTGCTTTCTGCTCTGTTTCACAAGCACAAACTGATCTTTTTCACAGCTGTGGTGCACAGATAACCCACCGGCCTGTCTCCAGTCAAACTCATTTTCATTGTAGCAGATGATACAACACAAGCAAACGGTCATCAGTTTTGGCCTGGGAGACTCAGACTGGACATCAGGAAAAAAAAAAATCTCTGTAAGGAAAATAGTTCAAGAGTGGGACAGGCTACCCAGAACATCTATAAAGCCTCCATCCTCAGAAGTTTTAAAGACTTGGCTATCCAAAGTTATGGCTGACCTGATCTATACCTAGTGATAACCCTGTTTTGAGTAAGAGGTAGAACTAAGGACCTCCAAATGTCTCTAACAACCAACATTTCTATGACTTCAGTAAAAAGTTTTAGATTTAGCCAGAATAGAAGTATTTCTAAGTTTAAGAGTTTTATTAGCTTTTTGGATAAACATCTTTTCCCTCCTGCCAAAACAGACACTTCCAGAGCAAAATTATCTTACCGGGGGAAGAAAGCAATTTTAGCAAAAAGAATTTCCAGCAAAACATTTCAGCCTGCTCTTTTGTTAATATATTTTTTTAAAAAAAAAAATACTGACTTTCAAGATGATAGGCTCCTTTAACAAGACCTACATTTGGGACAAACTACCAGATCATTATTATTGCTACTAATTTATTTTGCATTTCTCTCTGCCATGTCTCTTATCCTCCTCCCTATCCCATGAAAACCACAGTAAATTAAAGAGGCGCAACACTTCTCATCTGACAAAAACTCTGATCTATATACCTCTACATTATTGTTTTCAGCCTGGGTTCTTAAGAAATGAGGCTGGCTAATACACATTCTTCTGCTCCCTTGATAACATCGCCAACTTCAACCAATTTGGCAGAGAAGCCAATGACTGGAGGAAATTCAGATTCTGTAAGCTCTTTGCAAGCTGGCACCAGTGTAGCAGAGGAATAGCCACATGGCTGCCTGCCCCAGGGGAGACAAACAGACCTCGCCACTGGCATTTCCAAAGGCAAAAGCTATCCTACCTCTCACACACCAATAGCCCCAGACCAACCACACCAGGAACCGTCTCTTTCCAATATGCTCAGCATGTGAGACAAAGCAAAAAAAAGCATGGCAATGTGTGAGCTGAGGACATAAGGGAGCACATAGTTACTGCAACAGAGGAAGATATAGGGGCACACGCATCTGACAGGCATGTGTTTCTACAGCACAACTCTTAAATCCCTCGTAGCACAGAGCAAGGCTGCCCAAAGCATTTCCTATCTGCATGAACACAAGTCATGTGCAGCTGATGAGAGAGACAGGAGATGCACCTAAAAGAACCCAGTGGTTTGCCAGGACCAACCATCATCAAACATCCTCTACAAGAAAAGCAGCCTCCCTTATTATCTGCTCCCATTTTTATCTCCCACCTCCCACTACGTTCACTTACTGCTTAATGTCCAAAATGAGACCCTCACCCTGCTATCCATAAATAACTGCCTGCAAACTCGGGCTATTAAAATGAAAACCCACCAGGCAGGGGACAAGCAAAGGCCCTGACTTTGTATCTCAGTGACACCATACAAACA